ACCTCTTCCTCATAGGGTTGTTGTGAAAGGAGATAACATACATAAAGTAATATCAACACAGAGTAGGCCTTCAAAATACGTGAGTTATTATTTCAATTTAAATTTTTCTACCAAATATCTTATTTTAGAATAATTTTATATTTTTAGAAAGTTGCAAAGATAAAGTTCCCACATCACTCAGGTTTTCTCTGATACTAACATCTTATATAACCATAGTACTCTTGTCATAACTAAGAAATTAACATTAGTACCATATTATTAACCAAACTAGACTTTATTCGGATTTCACCAATTTTCCCACTACTGTTCTTTGTCTATCCAGGACCAATTCAGGATACCACACTGCACTTAGACAGATTTTTAAGTGCTTAGTTAATTCTTAGTCTTTTTTGTTGTAACATTCTGAATTTGGAGAATCAACTAAATCACCTACCACTTCATGTTGTGGTTTCCAACTGAAAAACAAGAGTCCGCTTGTATTAACATGATACATAGTACTATACCAAAGTAATCCTTAAGAAAACCACAGAAACAAAAGAAGAGACTTGAGCATTTTGTTTAGAGTATGTACACATTAAATGCAAGAAAAAATACTTGGAAAATGTACTACTCCTTAAATAAATAACACTGGGAAATAGGAGCTAATATTTATTGGAGTACTCACTAATCTTTGCTGTGTGCCAGACACTATGCTTTTCATCCCTTTTATAGATGATAGAAATTGGTTTTAAAGAGGTTAAGTAACTTGCCAAAGATCACACAATTCCACACTGGTGAAACATGAATCAAAATGCATCATAGAAGACGTGTTTAAATCCATGCATGCACCACGTATTGAAATTACTTTAGCCATACTGATGACATATCTCACTATGCAATTAATTACATAACTGAATTGCATCTAACACAGATTGCCAATTTTTGGAGGCTGAACTAATGTACAAAAAACCTCATATATGTCTTTTTTCATAAAAAAATCAATCCAATTCTAAAGCTACAGAACTGTCCAAACAAGAACTCTGAGCTTTTCCCTAGTCCCTTTTTTTCTTTTTTGCTGAGGAAGATTTGCCCTGAGCCAACATTCGTCCTGTGCCAATCTTCCTCTATTTTCTATGTGGGTCACCACCTCAGCACAGCTGCCACCAAGTGGCGTAGATCCACACCCAGGAACCAAACCTGGGCCACCAAAGCAGAGTGCACCAAACTTATCCACTAGGCCACAGTGCCAGCCCCTCCCTAGTCCTCTTTGGGTCTTTTGATGCTATTCAAACTATAGCCTGCTCTCTTAGTACAGGGGTCAACAAACATTTTTGGTAAAGGCCAGGTAGACAATATTTGGGGTTTGAGGAAACATGGTCTCTACTACAACCACATAACTCTGCTGTTGCATGCAAAAGCAGTCACAGATAGTACCTGAACAAACGAGCTTGACTGTGTTCCAATAAAACTTTACTTACTAAGAACAGGTGGTAGCCTTGATTTGGCACACAGGCTGCAGTTTGCTGACCCATCTTAGTCCACTCCATAGCATGGAATGAGTTTTGGATACTAAGTACTGTGACTGAGAGTAGAGGATATATCCTTAAGTTTACCTGCAATGACTCTTTATATTATTTTTAAAATATTCTATGGAACAAGTTGAACAACAGTTCTGGCCTCAGGAAACTATTCCTAGGATTGAAAAACAGGTCGTAGGGGCCAGCCCCGTGGCCAAGTGGTTAAGTCCGCACACTCTGCTTCGGCAGTTCAGGGTTTCGCCAGTTCGAATCCTGGGCATGGACATGGCATCACTCACCAAGCCATGCTGAGGCGGCACCCCACATGCCACAACCAGAAGGACCCACAACTAAAAATACACAACGAGGTACTGGGGGGCTTTGGGAGAAAAAGCAAAAATAAAATCTTTAAAAAAAAGAGAAAAAGAAAAACAGGTCGTATACTACAATCAGTATGGACAAAGGATACAAAAATAATTCATAAAAGAAGAAATATACAATGTTAGTAAAGTTTTTAAAAAATAATACTCTGATGTCCAGACTGTAAAAAAATAGGCATTGTCAAGTATTACTTACTGGTGAGATTGTGGGTTGGTATGACCAATCTTAAAAGCAATTTAGAAATGTTTAAAAAAAATAACTTCAAAATCTTCATACTTAATGTAAATTGCTCTTAAATCTAAAAAGATACTCAACCTAACATATAAGAGAGAAATAAAAATTAAAACTATGCTGGAATACCATTCTCACCTATCAGATTGGCAAAAATCCCCCAAATTGGGGATTATAAAACAATACAATTCCTACAGAGATCAATTTAACAATATCTATCAAAATTCAAAGCTTGATATATCAAACTTATTCACTATAGCATTGTTTTTAATGGAGTAAGATCAGAAATAACCTAAATGTCCATGTATAGAAATATTATGTAGCTGCAGGAATAAAAAAAGAAAAAGATCTACATGTATTAATATGGAAAGATCTCCAGGAAATATTTCAAGTACAAAAAAGCAAGAACACAGGTAGTACGCTACCTTCTGTAAGAGGAGAAAATAAGAATATATAATTGCTTTTGATGATATCTGAATAAAGAAACCCTGAAAGATAGTCAAGCAATCCAAATGGTTACCTGTAGGGAGTGGATGGGGACTGAGATAGAGTAAAACATTTCCATGTATGTAATGTACGTACACGTGTGTGTGTGTGTGTGTGTGTGTGTGTGTGTGTGTGTGAGGTTTTGATTTTTGACCTTGTAAATGCATTAGCTATTCGAATAATAAATTTTAAAGAATAATGTTACTTTAGGATCATTATAAGGATTATATGAGTTTGTCAATCATTATAAGGATTATATGAGTTTGTCAATGTACCTGATATAAAATGTCTAGGACAGTGCTTTACACACAGTGGGTGCTGCTATGTCCTGTTGCCGGTCTTTTTAAATGTCATCCAAATGGTATGATAACATAAACAAATAAAAGAATAAATACCAAACACTGAGGCTCCATATTTTCATCTCTAGGAATCTACCTTAATAAAAATCTAAAAATTGGAGAAAGATTTATACATAAATAAGGAACTGTTGAAACAACCCCAAAACACAAAAACAGAGAAATATTCAATAAACTATAGCACATCTATATTCATAAAGCATTTTTCATGACAGAGAAAATGCTCAAAATATACAACTTTATCATGTCAAATTGGGGGAGACAGGGCAGTGGGGGTAGAGTGGGGATTGCAGGCAGACAGATATGCTGAAATAAAAGAACTAAAGTGTAGCAAATAAGCTTTTACAGAGGGATTGTTGAAAATTTTTATTTTCTCTTTAATTCTTTTCCATATTTTTCAAATTTTCTTTTAAGCATGTAATCCTGAAAAAGGAAAAGAAAGAAAAAGAGAGAAAACGGGTTTCAGGAAAAGAGGTGCAAGCTCAAATCCCCTATTATATATGCAATTTTAGAGAAGTTAATTAAGCTCGTGAAGCCTCCAGAGCTGTAAAATGGAGATGATATCAAATCCTAGGGTTATTTTGAGAATTAGAGACACTATATGTATGAAGGACCTAAATAATGTTTTAAACATAGTAAACACTAAGTAATAATTACTATTATTCTCATACATCTTATCTGTGCAACATTCCTTCCTAGATATGTAAAATCACACTATATTTCATCAATATAAGATACTATTCATTTTATGACACAAGCAGGTTTTAGAAATGTTGAAATGTGAAAAATGATTATCTTGGATTTGATGAAATCCAGTGCAAGTTTAGTGAACTAAATGTTACTTTCATACATAACTTTTTATTTAGTACAATGGAGTGGAAATGCATTAGAAGCAAGCATTAAAATTAAAAAGATTGTTCCCATAGAAGATACAGAAATAAATAATAGGCACATGAAAAGATGCTCAAAATCACTAATGATTAGGGAAATGCAAATCAAAACCACAATGAGATACCAACTCACACCATTAGGGTGGCTACTATCAAAAAAATAGAAAATAAGTGTTGGCAAAGATGTGGAGAAATTGGAACACTTGTGCACTGCTAGTAGAAATAAAAAATGGTGCAGCCGCTATGGAAAATAGCATGGCAGTTTCTGAAAAAATTAAAAATAGAATTACCATATAATCCAGCAATTTCACTTCTAGGTATATACCCAAAAGAACTGAAAGCAGGGACTTGAATCGATATTTGTACAGCCATGTTCATGGCAGCATTATTCACAATAGCCACAAGGTAGAAGTAACCCAAGTGCCCAGTGATGGATGAATGGATAAACAAAACACGATATATACACACAATCGAATGTTATTCAACCTGGAAAAAGAAGGAAATTCTGACACATGCTACAAAACGGATGAAACTCAAGGACATTATGCGGAGTAAAATAAGTCAGTCACAAAAAGACATACTGTGTAATTTCACTTATGAGGTATCCAGACTAGTCAAATTCATAGAGACAGACAGTAGAATGGGGCTGACAGGGGCGGGTAGGAGGAAGAATGGAGAGTTGCTGTTTAATGGCTGTAGAGTTTCAGTTTTGCAAGATGAAAACAGTTCTAGAAATTGGTCATGCAACAATGTGAATGTACCTAATGCTACTGAACTGCACATTTAAAAATGGTTAAAATGGTAAATTTTATGTTATGGATATTTTACCACAACAAAATAAAATTAAAGAATTATAATAGTGAGAACAGATCTATTTGAATAACATGATTCACTGAAAATAACTGAAATAGACTGTGTAAATTCACTTATGGTAGGAAGATTTTTTTAAAGCAATACAGTCCCCTTCTAAGAGTTATGCATATGACAATACACACAAAAAAACATGAAATAAATATTAACCAACTAATTTTTAAACTACTTTAATAAACACCTTGACTGAACCATTTAAAGCTTCAATTGAAATTTACATACTGTAAACAAAACATGCTTTGAGCAATAAACTTACTATTCAACATCATGTTTGTTTCATTTTTTTTTACCTGGGAGAGAGAATAATACCAAGACAGAGGAAGATCAAACACTCTTAGTGCTGCTGTCTTCAAGGAAAACTGTGATTTGTTTACTGTTTCTTCTGACATGACTCCTCTTCTAGAAATCTTCATTAAAGGAAACAGAAAAACATATTAGCCTCAAGGATTTCTGGTTACTCTACCAAATGAAAGACACAAACTGAAAATTTAACTCTATCAGCTGGTTTTTTCTTTTTTTGCAGCTAATTATTCATGATATTCACTTACCTGAAGAAAACACTTATCTGAGCCAAGTTTACTTGAACTAAAAGTTTATTTATTAATCACGACAGCAGCAAAAGAGAAAATGAGCTAGATTTAAAGTTTGAGTCCAGGTAGTAAATTTTCCTCAGAAAACTGCAGGTTCTAGATTCTCTCTTCTCTGGTTAAATAAACATTTCAGGTTTTAGATAATTATTTATTTATTTATTTATTTATTTTGAGGAAGATTAGCCCTGAGCTAACATCTGCTGCCAATCCTCCTCTTTTTGCTGAGGAAGACTGGCCCTGAGCTAACATCCGTGCCCATCTTCCTTTACTTTATACATGGGACGCCTACCACAGCATGGCTTTTGGCAAGCGGTGCCATGTCCACACCTGGGATCTGAACCAGCGAACCCCAGGCTACTGAGAAGTGGAACATGCGAACTTAACCCCGGCACCACCAGGCTGGCCCTGAGGCCTATTTCTATTGAAACCAAAGAAAGAAAAGTCAGACATCCACACAGGAGGCAGCCATCACTCAGAGAGGCCGTTTAAAGGTAGCAGAACTTTGATAGAAACATAATGGTTCAGGGTCTCGGTCAAAGCTTTGTAGAGCCAGAAACTCAATTTTATCAGTGTACCCAGATGCACACACACTAAACAAATTCACATAGCACCGATGTATAAATTAGTCTACAAATTTATTCATTAAAAAAAATACACTATGGGGCTGGCCCCGTGGCTACGTGGTTAGGTTCGTGCGCTCCGCTGCAGGCTGCCCAGTGTTTCGTTGGTTCGAATCCTGGGCGCAGACATGGCACTGCTCATCAAACCACGCTGAGGCGGCGTCCCACATGCCACAACTAGAAGGACCCACAACGAAGAATATACAACTATGTACCAGGGGGCTTTGGGGAGAAAAAGGAAAAAAATAAAATCTTAAAAAAAAAAAATACACTATATAGTGAAAGAATACTTATAAATGTTATCAAAACATACTCCCTCTGAAATAAAAGATTGAAAAGAGCTGAACTGATAAGTAAAAAAGGCTGCCAGGTGAGAATAAAATTAATGGGTCCTGAGGAATATTTCATCCAGGCCTTAAGCCTGAGAACTGTCTGATGCACAAGAGAGTAGGCTTTTCGAGTAACCAAAGTCTTTATGCCTACCAAATTTAATATTCTTGTCCTTGGATAGTGCTGTGTAAACATTACCAAAGAGAAAATAAAAATTACCAACAATCCCTCTACTTAAGTTTATTTGCTATACTTTAAGTCCTTTATTTCTGCATGTAGCTCTCTGCTCCCTTTTTCTAAACAGCAGTAGTCTGCCCCCTTCTATTAACAGCCCCCCTTTTTTCAGACAAGTAACAAAACCACTGATTAAGTACTGGTTTCCTTTCAAATCAAACACAGTAATACTTCTCAGGGTGGGTTACTGCTACTGACCCCCTATTCCCTATTAGTGTCACTCACAAAGTGTAAACTTAATTCCCCCTCCTCCATATTCTAATTACAATTTCTAGGCTCAGCATGATTAGTTCTCACTGAAACATATTTATTCCAAAGAACAAATTGTGATGAAGACATGTTATTGAGAAATACAAAGGAAACCATGAAGAAACAGTTAAACAAGTGAAAAATGGTCCTCTGGGGAATGAGACTAGGACTGTCAGGAGGTCGCACAGTGAACCACTGCATTTCATTACACGTCCTTCTACAATACTTGATTTTTTTTTAGGGTCTTACATGTATTACTTCTAAAAAATGCTACACTAAAAAGGAAAAAACCAAAAACATTTATTCTCCCCCTAGAATTGACCACTTGAGAAATATTTTTAGTAATTAAATAAATTCTGGATCATTAAGCCATCTATACTGCATACTGCATTAAAAAAAAATACTGAGTGTAATTCACCCAAAGTGACTTTCTCCATAATAGTGGGTTCTAAATTTCTAAGCAGAAGAGAAAGAAAATAAAACAAACACTTCAATGTGCTGCAGGGGTTTTCTTAAAAGAATTCTGACAAATCTCTATCTTTGCATTCTAATTACCTCACTCTTTCATTTCAAATCACTGAGGAAGTGATTCCACACTTAATCATTAATAATTGAACAACTTTTAAAAACTAATCATTTCAGTTGCTTTCATAAGAATTAAGATAAACATGAAGGCAGCTGCATAATTATTCCAATTTGTAGAGAAAGTCTAAAACATTACCAAAAATATTGTACTACGTAATATTACTAGCTTCTCTCCATTCTGACTATTGGAGAGTTAAAAATAAGTGTCATAAGTAGAGTTTGATTCTTAAACACCCTAAAACTCTATTCTACAACTTGGACTTTATAATCCAAGAAAGAATCAAAGCCTGAAATACCTCCCAAAATTTGACGTGAAGCATAAATCTACACAACCGAACTCTGAGAAGGTACTTTCAACACAGCAAAAACGCTTAGCTGCAATAAGGATAAAACAGGAACAATAATACAGGTCTGTGCAAGAGCCAGATGTTTTGGAATCCTCCCACCAAGAAATAAATGCTGAACAACTTTACAGAGGATCTCCGACGCCACAATCCTCCCGAGGCTAAATGATTCTCTGACAGCACCTTCAAACTAGGCAGACTCGTCCTCACCCAGGCACCACTCCCCGCTACACCACCGGCGTGCAAGCGGAACTTGGGTCACACCGGTGGGCCCCTCCGGCAGGACCCCCTCACCACCAGCAGCACCCCCCCCAACAGGAACCCTCCCTGCGGCAGGACCCTCCCTCAAGCAGGACCCCCTACTCCAGCAGGACCCTCCCCTCCAGCACGACCCCTACCCAACAGGACCCACTCTCCAGCAGGAACCCCCTGCGGCAGGAACCCCCCCGCCCCCCCAGCAGGACCACCTCCTCCAGCAGGATCTCCCCCCTCCCCGCACTTTCCTCTCCGCTCTTCCTTGTTCTTTTACACGAGGACCAGAAAAGGGGCCCCCCCTCGGCCGGCCGCCCCTCACTCTGGCTCCGAGCGGCCGCGAGCCCCCTGATTCAGCGTTCCCCTCCCGGGGCTCTCTCCATCTCGCCGCCCGCACTCCAGGTCCAGAGGGCCGAGGCCGCCGCCCACCCCGCGTACCTGGCGCCCCAGGCCAGCAGCTGGCAGCTCCCTGCCGCTTCCCCACCGCAGCCCGGCGCCGAGCCGCTGCCTGGCCGCGGGGGCGGAGTCCTTCCGGGGTCACGGGGAAGATGGGGTGAAAGTGGCGGCGGCCTTCGGGCCTTTCTGCGGGAGGGGCTGCGTGTGAAGCCGCTGCCGCCATTTTTGTTCAGGGCAGAGGCTCCCGCCAGGCTGGACCCGCTAAGAATTAGAGGAATTGCATCTTTTTACAGGGCTGTCAAGGAGTGGTATTGGGGTTCGTAACCTTTTGAAGGATCTAGGACCATTCTGCGAATCTGAGGAAAACTCTGGGGCCTTTCCTCTAAAAAAATGAACATAGACACGCTCGTACCTTATTAAAAGAAAAAAATATATATGCAAGTTAAGATGCCTGAAACCAACCCAAGGGTCCCACATTAAGAACTTCTACCCCAGACCCTCAGCCCCTAAATGAATGAATGTTAAGAGGCATTCCAACCCTGTATTGATGATTAAGTTATTATTGATTTTGATTCCTCTTTAACTTGTCTCCAGGTTTCCTAGTGAATTAGGCTACCAAAAACATATGAATATGGGGGCCGGCCAGGTGGCACAGCGGTGAAGTTCACACATTCCGCTTGTCGGTGGCCCAGGGTTTGCTGGTTGGGATCCCCAGGTGAGGACATGGCACCATTGGGCAAAAATCCATGCTGTGGTAGGTGTCCCACATGTAAAGTAGAGGACAATGGGCATGGATGTTAGGTCAGGGCCAGTCTTCCTCAGCAGAAAGAGGAGGATTGGCAGTAGTTAGCTCAGGGCTAATCTTTCTCAAAAAAAAAAAAAAAATACATGTATATATATATATATATATATATATATATATATATGAATATGGCCAACTATGAGGAGTTGGGCAGAATATTTACTGCTCTGAGGTTCTGTCTAATATACAGTAAACTAACGGGGTGGGAGGAAGAACAGCAAAACAAAACGGTATTTCTATGTGCAGTCCTGAGCCAAAACATTCTATCAGAACTGCAGATTTTAAAAATTCCAATTGCTGAGCATATTTGTGGTGAAAAACCAAAATAATTTTGTAAGGTTAGCTAAAACATGAGAGCGAATGTTAGTATTCCCAAGGAACAAGAATGAACAATCCTTTCTGTTAGTTTTCAAAATTCCCATTCAGTCAAATAAAAAATAGGGAGAATGACAATACCAATGTGTGATGTTACTAGATGAAAAGTAACTAAAAATGCACAGACTGAATTGTATGTGAAAGTATTTTGCACTTAGAAAGTAAATAAGCTCTTGACACTTCAAGAACCTGGAATTGGTAAGCCTCCGTTTTTGTTTATTCCTCCATCTCCTCTCTGCTGCCTCCTCCCTGTTTCCTACAACTTCCAAGGCTTTAGCCTAACGGCAGGAACAGCAATAATGATTACCACGTAAAGCAACTTTCGTAAGAACATTATCTCCTTTACTTCCACAAGAGGCATTATGAGAGAGATGCTATTGCACACTAGATATGGATTTTACTCTTTAACAGGAGAATAAGAAATGCCCTGTTTTACTTATTATTCTAAATCAGTGTAATTTGCTCCAAGCCTCCTTTCACCTGGGTTGCCAGAATATTCAGTCTTAGTCATTATTGGGTATATCAGTTGGGATGCTGTTAGCTACAAACAAAAGAAAGCTGAACAAATAGTGGCTTAAACCATAGGACAGGGTATTTCACGTGGATGCAGCAGCCGGTGGACACAGTCTCATATTTGGACTTCATGTCTTCTGCTATCCTGGAACAGGAGGAAAAAAATGGGGCTTGGATTAATTCTAAAGCTCTGCCCCTCCCCCAGATAACCAAAACCACTGTGTAATGCTCACCAAACCAGGGAGTGGAGTCCATGGAGTAATATTAGTTGTTTCTACTGTCCAGATAGTGAGGTACCTGCTACATCAACCATTAATGAATTTGGGGGATCCTATGTGCATAGTATCAAAACAATGCTGTCGAGTGAGACTGTCAGAGTTTGAATCCTTTCTCTGCCATTTCCTAGATGTATGGTCTTAGGCAAGGTACTTACCCTCATTATACCTCAGTTTCCTCAGTGGGGTGTTGGGAAGATAAAAGATAATACTTGTAAAGCACTAAGATCCTTATGTAAGTTTTTAACTTGGGTTACTTTACCTCCATGGGATCCAAGGACAAAATTCTATTTCCATATGATTAGTTTCCTTTGTAATCCTATATATTTTGTTTTATGTACATAAAAACATCACTTTGAGAAGGCGGGGTCCATGGGCTTTACCAAAATTTCAAAGGGGTCCATGACACCAAAAAATGATTAAGAACTTAGAACAATCCTGGCACACATTTCTAAGATTTATGGCATATTAAGTGGAACTTTTCCATGCCTTTTGGCAGAAGCCCCAAAGCTGAGAAAATAGAGCCCAAGTACCCTGAGCATTCTAAAAAAGAATGCTAGATCATGAACACAGGGGATGCTAGGAGAATGCGGAGCCCATTTAGCAATCCTCAGTCTTCACGTACCTCCAGGGAATGATATAGCAGAATTGATCCAAGAAGACTGGAGAATGAAGATGCCTAGGAGATGGTTTTCTGGAGTGTTGCGCATTTTCCTTCCCTTCCCCTAAGAGTGAAGAGAGGAGAGTGCTTTTCCCATCCCGCCCCCATCTCAGGCCAAGTGAAGGACCTTTAAGAAACTCAGACAACTTGACCTCTGTGCCCTGTAGTTTATGTCATCTGGAAAAATCTAAAGGGAATAGACTATTCAAAGAGGACTTTGATGGCAGAGCAGAGAGAGACGGCTGCAGCGCAGGTGGCCTGTACTTGCAATTTTGCAAGTAAAGTTTTCCAGTGGGCCACAGGAACGCCACAGAAGGTAACGAGGCTTGAATTATCTTAAAAGGTTGTATCTTCAAACCAGGAGCTAAGTGGACCATCTAAATGGTCAGTCACACATGTTTTTTCCAGGGTTAGGAAGCGAAACAGTGAGAGATCCCCAGCAAGGGGGGCAGCCACTGAGGAACCCACAAAAGGACCTTGTAAGAAAAGAGCCAGCATTTAGGAGTAGGCCACATGCAGAAGGCACCATAGTCAGACTTAATTGCAGATTGGGTATATCTGATATTTTATTTAGGCTATTTAGGATCACTCTAGCTGAGACAATATATGGCCAATGTGTTTCATGAATTATTGGTGGAAACAGCACTTATCAAGTGACAACTTAAGCCTGACCAAAGTCTAGCACTTTGAGGAATTAAAAACAATTACGTCACCTAAGTAGATGAATTCTTTTAGGTAATTCATATATCCAATTACCTTTTCCATTAACTGCTAAAACCTGACAGAGTCCCCAGAAAGAACTCAGGGCCTCTTTTTAAACCTACACAGTGCTGTAGGGTAAATACTGGCTTTTGATTCTTTGTTCTCATCACCTACCCACAAGTGATTGATGGGACTCCTCTACAAGTCAGTACTAAGCCAACCAAGGCATCTAGAATTCAGAGTATGGGTCTAGATGCTAACTCAGAACATCTATCCCATACACATTCAAATATTGCAGATTCACTTCCTCAAAATATTAAATATAGAGTTAACATATGACCCAGCAATTCTACTCCTAGATGATACCCAAGAGAAATGAGAACATTCATCCACCTAAAAATATGGACATAAATGTGTATAGCAGCATTGTTCATAATACTGAAAAGTAAAAACAACCTAAATGTCCATCAACTGATAAATAGAGAAGTAAAATGTGGTATATCCATGTAATGCAATATTATTTGGCTATAAAAAGAAATGAAGTACTGATACATGCTACAAAATGGGTGAACCTTAAGAACATGCTAAGAAGCCAGTTGTAAAAGATTATATATTTTATGATTCCATTTATATGAACTGTCCAGAATAGTCAAATCTAAAGAGACAGAAAATGGGTTAGTGGTTGCCTAGGGCTAGCAAGGTTGAGGGACAATGGAAGTGACCTGCTAAAGCATATGGGACTTCTTTTGGGGGTAGTGAAATGTTTTAAACCTAGATTGTGAGGCTGGTCATAAAAATCTGTGAATATACTAAAAATACCTTGTGTGAATTGTATAGTATGTGAATTATATCTCAATAAAACTGTTACTCCCCTAAAATTATTATTATTTTTTCTTTAAAGATTGGCACCTGAGCTAACATCTTCTTTTTTTTCATTCCTCTTCTCCCCAAAGCCCCCCAGCACACAGTTGTATAGTCTAGTTGTAGGTCCTTCTGGTTGTGCTATGTGGGATGCCGCCTCAGTATGGCCTGATGAGTGGTGCCACGTCCGTGCCCAGGATCCAAACCTGTGAAATCCTGGGCCGCTGAAGTGGAGCTCGTGAACTTAACCACTTGGTTATGGGGCCAGCCCCCCTAAGATTATTCTTGCCATTTCTTAGGTCAAAAAAATCAAGGCTTCCTGATGGCCTAGTGGTTAAAGTTCATCACGCTCTGCTTCAGCAGCTGGGTTCGGTTCCCTGGGCTTGGAACCACACCACTTATCTGTCAGTAGCCATGCTGTGGCAGCAGCTCACATGGAAGAACTAGAAGGACTTACAACTAGAATATACGACTGTGTACTGGGGTTTTGGGGAGGAAACAAAAAAAGAGAGAGAGAAGAAGATTGGCAACAGATGTTAGCTCAGGGTGAATCTTTCCCAGCGCAAAAAAAAAAAAAAAAAAAAAAATCAAAGCTTAAAGAGATTATGAGGCCAGAGAATGATCTAGAGCATGCCGTCCCTGCAGTGCCTCAGTAGTTGTCAAATGCTGCGCTGCTCCAGTGAGAGGCATGCACTCTATTGGGAGGTATTTACATCAAAATGTAAAATAAATTGTAGACAACACAGATATTTTCCTAGTGAGAGCTGAGGTAAATAAGTTTATTCTAAAGTTACTTTAACATAAAGAACAATAAAATTAAAATTAAACCACATGGAAACAAAAGTTCCTATTTTGCACACTTAGAAATCTTACAGGGCTGGCCCTGTGGCCGATTGGTTAAGTTCGCGCGCTCCGCTGCAGGCGGCCCAGTGTTTTGTTGGTTCAAATCCTGGGCACGGACATGGCACTGCTCATCAAACCACGCTGAGGCAGCGTCCCACATGCCACAACTAGAAGGACCCACAACGAAGAATATACAACTATGTACCAGGGGGCTTTGGGGAGAAAAAAATAAA